AGCGATAAAATGTAATAAAATTCTAAAAAATTTTATATAATGCATTTTGCACAACAGCTGGTGAAGATAACAGTACAGCAGGCATGATGGGGGTGAGAAAGAGGGGTGAGATTCAGATATGAGGCAAGCAGTCGTAACAGATGAGTTGACCTGAGTAAAGCCCTCCTGCACTGAGAAGCAGCAGCCGTGAGGTACTTTGCAAAGCAGGAAGAACTAACACCTGTAGTCAAATAAAAAACCTGCAATCAAAGGAAATAACTGGAATAACTGGTTTGATTCATTCGACACAAACTAGACATAAAAACTCTAATTATCATCACCATCATTGCTATTTTTAGTCGTTGTTGTAGTAATAGTGTAATGAACAGTAAATGTGTGCTGCCGTATGTTAGAACAGGAAAAATTAAGCAATTATGCCTAATTTATGCACACGCCTTTGTAACAATTTTAATTTTGGGCATCAGTGCCACTGAAGAGCAGGATGCTCCAGTGTTAACACCTGCAAGTAGATCCACCATCTTGTCCTCACATTGGTGTTTGCTTGGTGTCTTGCTGGTTTATGTTTGTGCTGGTTTATGTCAGTGCAGATTCATCTGTAAATAGCATTATGTCAGTTTTGTGTTTACATAAATGTTTTTTAGTCCACGTGCTGGTAATGCTGGATAAATTACATGCCACAAAGTCCTGATACTTTCCTGATCCCAGAGTTGAGAAATCCCCCAAAACTAATTCTATTACAAACAGTCTTGGAAACCTGGAAACTTTCCTTGGAAATTTGTTGCTGTGGCAGGACCGGGCGAGATATTAGAGCAGACAACAAGTCCGAGTAACCTAATCCTGAGAAGTGATCCTCCTCAACTATTAGCATTTTTTTTATGTACTTTTATGTTAATGTCAGTCGAAGAGAAGAGTTGGGATCCAAGGCTTTACTCTGCAAGCCTTTTTGGTGTTTGGCTGTTTTCACTATTTGTTAAATAATTGTTAAAATATCAGATTCCAGTGTGAAGAGGTCGCAGTGCTGAAGTGATAAATGTCGATCTGGAGTTAAAATAAAAGTCATGTGATTTCTGAATGGACTGTATCTGATTTGCAGCAAATGTAAAAGAGGCCAAATCCAATTTTTAATATATCAGATTCCATGTGATTCGTACTATTCACACTGTAATGAAAGAATCAAATCTGAGTCACATATGAGCAAAATAATCAGATTTGTGCCACTCAGTGCACTGCAGTGTGAATGTGGTAGTTAGATATCCAGTAGTTACATTTTAAGTGCTCCCACTTTCCAGAAGGTTTGTGACATTATTGCTTTTAAACAATGGTGAGTGTGTGGGCTGTGTCATCATTCAGCTGTGGGTTATATGTGTAGGAAGAGAGAGAGAACATACTGACAGTGATTATAATACTACAGTAGGTGAAAGATAGCACAAAATGATATGTCTTGAGGCTGTATTGCATTATAGTCTACTGAGGTTTCTGACAGTGGAGAAATTACTTCCTCTGCTTCAGTGGGGTTTTTCTTCTGATTGTTGAACATCTGCGCAGAATATAAATCTTAACAAAAGCCTTTTCTCTTTGGAATAATAACCAGAGATGATTGTAATAGATGTATTTTTTGATACTCAATCTCAATTACAACTGCTGGAAACACCCTTATGTGAAGTGACGTGTCTGTATTGGGCAAGTTACAAGAATATCTACAAGAATAAAACAATATAATGCTTGTACATTTCGATTATTTCATTTTTTGTTGTCAGACGAGACTGAAAAGTGCCACAAAGGGATAATTTATAAAGAACCTTGTGTTTTAGCTCTTTACTCCTGAACCAGAATGCATTTAATTTTTCCTTGAATTTATTATTCTACAAATCTATTTCTACCTAAACAGACTCCTATGTTTCTAGTTAGATCTTCACTAAATCTGGCAGCCAATGGTATTTGGCTGAATATTGAAACGGTTATTTATTTTGGGGTTGTTTTGTTTTGTTTTTTGTATTTTGTATTTACAGCTGCGCACAGCTGGTAAATAGCTAAATTGACAAAACTGACACATCTCTAGAATATATTCTGAAATTGCAGCAAGTGGACATGTCACAGCATGCAATCCTTAAAATTTAGCATTGTGTGGCGCTACAGCAACATGATTCATCTACAATCACCGTTTGACTCAATATTTCCAGACAGCATTTACAGCAAGAATAATATATAATAATATCGAAAACAGAGTAAATTATCAAAATAAAAGTAATATGAGAGGTTTGTACAGAGGTTTGTGCTCTCTGGTTGCTTTTTATAAATAAATTGATTGTTGATTAGAAAGAGGTAGATGTCTGAATTCATCTAAGACTTTGTTTTAATAAAGCACTGCATAAGTAAACCTTCTTGCTTCACTGCTATTAACAGAATTATCAAATCGAAATAATCCTTTTGACACTGTGATGAGCACGAGGTCGTTAAGATTCACTGTGAGAGTGTTAATCAGCTGCCAGTCTCTGCAGCCTCCCACACAGCCTGCAGGACCTTGAGCGCTGCTGTGGAGGAAACCCATCAACACCACGTATGCTGGAAGTCAGACAGAGTTGGAGTTTTGGAGAGAAAGTCGGTCTATAATGATGTTATACTAATGCTAAATGCGTGACATTCATGGTTTTTGCATTCATTTGAATGGCCAGGATAATTTATAGCATATTTAATAGTTGTTAACATTTTAGACAAATTATATAACCTTTTAGTGGATAAAACAGCTAAAAAACAATGCGAAACCTCTTTCCTACCGTAAATACCAGTGCACACATGTAGATCTCAGTAAAAAAAAAGCTAAAACTAATTGTTTTCATTATGCTAGATTTTAGGGTTGCTGCAGCCCCCTAAGCATCCCTGCTTCCAGCGCCATCTGAAAGGCAATCAATCCAAACTACAGCCTTTAGGCCTCCATACACACACACACACACACACACACACACACAGAAGAGGATCAACAAGAACATCCCTCCAAATTCTACTAAATTATATTTGTTGTTACATCTGTTGCTACATCTGCTTTCAGCCAGCTTCACCCTGAGCTCTGCTTTGGAGCGTTGGTCAGTTTACTTTATTATCTAGTGTTTGTGTTGAGTGACGCTGTATTTATTCAGGTGTTTTACTTAAGAAGAAACAGAGAAAGCGTGCATGCCGAGAAGCCTCAAGCTGTCCTCGCTTGTGTCCTTTATTCAACAGTGATTTTCAAACAAACAAAAAGCTCTACACTGGTGACCCAAAGTTAAAGTTGATGGGAAGTACAAAACATGTGCATCTATGAGGTTTTCCCACACTAGTTCTAAAGTGCAACTGGAAAACATTTCCACAACTTTATACTAAATGTTATGACTGTGTTACTGAGGTGCAACAGTGACACAGATCTCTCATGAGCTACTGTTGGGTCATGACTCAGACTTTCAAAATAAAGGCAATAAAAGCTGCAAACTGTGTTCGTGTATAGAGTCCCAACAATGTAAGTCAGCCAGCAAAGATCAAAAGAAAATGATCACAGAGAGAGAATTTTCACTCGACTCTTCAGCTCATCTCTGAGGAGCATTTTAACGTCTTTCAGCTCATTGTTTTGGTTTTCTTGCCTGCAGCGATACTGCTTTGGTTCAGTCTTGCTTCTCTAGTCAGTGGCATTTCCAGCCACAGCAGGCAGCTGTTTCTAGTGAAAAAAAACCCTCTGGGAAAGGTCCATTTTCCCTTTGACCAGTTTTTGCGCTTTTTCCTGCCTGCACAATGTCTCAGTTTTGTTTTCTGACTGCCAACTTGTTACTGACCTGTATCCTATTAACAAAGTGAATCCTGCTTTTACAGCCTGTCTGTGGTGTACAACTCCTGTATGTAGTATATTAAATACTAGTTATTATCAGTATGGTCAATATGACATTTAGTTTATGATTAGATCTTTCATACTATTCCCAAAATGTCTGTGTCTCTTCACTGTTGTATAGAAACCGACTCACTTCCCCCCATTACTCTAAATGCTATGAAATACATACAGTATCAAACAGCCATTTCCAGCTCTGTGTTTACAGCCTGCCATATGTTTCTAGTTTCTGTGCGTTTTTCTGACATGCTGAGAGCCGTATTGGAGACCACCCTGAGATGATGTAATTACCCAAGACAGGATGTGCAATAGAGGGGATCGTAGCCCAGGGGACTCTCCCTCAGTGCAGTAATGTAATCACCTGACTGAAGTCATCAGAGTGAGCTCTAACTACACTTGCACAGTCTGGAAACCTTATAGAATCATCCTGTTGAAATTCATTACATTTATTGTTAGAAATGATTCCTCCTATTTCCTGTGTGTATGACAAAGAAACAACAGTATGTGCTCACGTTTTTGAATTTGTTAATAACTAAAATTTAATTATTTTTTCCAGTTAAATCTTAGCTGAATGTCAAAGGTCGTCTGAGTTGATTGGGGGGTTAGTGTGACAACGCCCATTCTTTAGGGCACTGGTTCCCAACCTTTTTCTATCATTTAGTAAATGATGACCCCTCACTGAGTGTCTTATTATATAGATATTTATATTACATATTTACATATTTTATATTAAAAACTGTACAATGAACCCATAGTGAACTCAGTAACTGCAAGAAGTTTGTGTAAAAAGTAAGATTTGGATTAATTTTGAGCAGATTATTTTCTGCTTAGGGAACTTTGTCTTATGTATTATGTATTTTTTAAACTTGTTTAACCATCATACAGACTTAATAGGCTTCTATTTTTGACTAATTCAAAGTTTTCTTGCAGTTTACCTTACATTTACCTTTCTTCACAGAAGTGAACCAAATGCTGAGATATATCTTGACTTAAAGGTGTGTTGATATCTTAAAAACATAGACAAACTGTCTATGTTTTTAAGATATCAAC